AGCTATTTCTTAAAGGAGAAGAGACTTTCACACAGATAAACCAACAGGTCACTCTGGTTAGTCAACAGTTTGTGTTTGTGCATGGTGCCTTAGGGTTCCCAACTAGAGGCGAAGTAGAGACATTACAAACACCAATGCAACAATCGGTTGAGCTGGAAAACAGGCTGAACTAAGTGGCATGCTTTCACAAAGTGACCAGTCAGGATTTCCCATACAAAAGTTCTGTATGGTTCTAAAGCAAAGTTCCACCAATTGCTTTGACACACATTTGTCACTGGTCTAGTGATCCTCAATTCATTAGCCCTCAGACTTGGCTTGGCTTGGCTTGGATGGGCATGAAGCCTATGCCTTCTAGAATGACTCCCTTTACAATCATCAGAAAGAGATATTCCAGAACAAAACAAAGACCTATCACGTTAAGACTTTGTATACATTGACAAACAACTGCATCTTAGACTTCTGGTCCCTAGAACCATGAGCTTAATACACTTTTTTCCTTTATTTTTTATTTTTTTTATTTTTTAAGACTTTATTTCTTTACTTGAAAGTTTGAGTTACAGAGAGGCAGAGGCAGAGAGCGAGAGAGAAGTCTTCAATCCACTGGTTCACTCCCTAGATGGCCACAATGGCCAGAGCTGCACTGATCCGAAGCCAGGAGCCAGGAGCTTCTTCCAGGTCTCCCACATGGGTGCAGGGGCCCAAGGATTTGGGCCATCTTCCACTGCTTTCCCAGGCCATAGCAGAGAGCTGAATCAGAAGTGGAGCAGCCGGGACTCGAACCGACGCCCATATGGGATGCCGGCACTGCAGGCGGCTGCCTTACCTTCTCTGCCACAGCACTGGCCACAACTTCTTCCCTTTATGATTATCTAGTCTCAAGTGTTCTGTCTTGGTGACATAATAAGGACCAAGACAGTCACAAACTCTGAGATAGTAAAATACACTGAGCATCAAGAGCCCAGTGGAACTAGTCAGAAGTCAAATTACCAGTATCTCTACCTGACTGCAGATCCATTGGGCAACTGGAGTTTAGGGCCCAGTCAATGCACCTGTGTTCCAAGCAGTCTATGGTGAGTCAGCGAATGGTCTCAGTAGAATCTCCAGAATGACCACTGTTGAGGATCTGAGATAAAAAGACACAGCTGTGGTTAAGCCTTAGCATTACAAGAGGAATGCTCTCTGCTTGCAGATACAGTCCCTCAGAGCATAGCAGAATGCTGATCGTCCATGACTGCTTGGGGCAGCGTGGCGCTCAGGGACTAAAGGATGTTCAGAGGGGGAGTGAGCTTGCATCACCGTGAAGTGTGGCTCCACGGGTGAGAGTGCTGCTGGCTATTGGTGCTCAGAGGCACAGTTCGGTGGTGAGTCTGCCCTGATGGGCTGACTTTCACAAGTGAGTGCTGACACCAACAATTTAGTTTTGCAAATGTGTATTCATAGAACTGCATTGTGGCCAGTGCCACAGCTCAATAGGCTAATCCTCCACCTAGCAGCGCCGGCACACCAGGTTCTAGTCCTGGTCGGGGCACCGGATTCTTTCCCGGTTGCCCCTCTTCCAGGCCAGCTCTCTGCTGTGGCCTGGGAAGGCAGTGGAGGATGGCCCAAGTGCTTGGGCCCTGCACCCCATGGGAGACCAGGAGAAGCACCTGGCTCCTGCCTTTGGATTAGCGTGGTGTGCCGGCTGCAGCGCACCAGCCGTGGTGCCCATTGGAGGGTGAACCAATGACAAAGGAAGACCTTTCTCTCTGTCTCTCTCTCTCACTATCCACTCTGCCTGTCAAAAAAAAAAAAAAAAAAAAAAAGAAAAGAAAAAAAAGAATTGCATTTTCCTTGATCATTTAGAGAGGTTTAAACAATGAACACGGATCTTTATTGCCACAGCTACAGAACAATCAGACTTTCCTTAAGTTTGCAGGAACATTTTTATTCTCACCCTTGCATAGTGGAACCAATGTGTCAGACTATTTCTAGTTTGAATATCCTGATTATTCCATCAAATTCTTGTGACCCATCATGCATTTTAACAACACATTGCTTTAGCCTGAAAATCTCCTGAAACCACACTTCCCAAGTACAAGCTGTTTTTTTAAGACTTATTTTATTTGCTTGTAAGGCAGAATTAGAAGGAGAGAGGGAGAGATAGAGATACAGAGCTCTTCCACCCAATGGTTCACTCCCCAGATGGCTGCAGTGGCCAGGGCTGGGCCAGGCTGAAGCCAAAGCTAAGAGTCAGGAACTCATCCAGGTCTCCCACATGGGTAGCAGGGGCCCAAATACTTGGGTCAGTGCTGCTGCTTACCTGGGCCCAGTGGCAGGGAAGTAGAGCAGAGGTGTAGCAGTGAGAACTTGAACCAGGGCTCCAATATGGGATGCCAGCATTGAGGATTAACCTGCTGTGCCACTGTGCCAGCCCTGCAGATGTGAGTCTTTGTCCCTTCATTCAAGTAGCTACTATTGATGGAAATCTATTGGTTATCTGAGATAGTAATAGGAGAGTGAAGCAGAATGGCTAGAGAGAATATAAGAACACATTAGGTTTGTGATTGATCAGTAAATAATTATACAATATGTAGACATTTTGAAAGAATGTGCTATAACACAACTGTCTTCTCCCTGATTTGTAAGTGTGTAAAATCTTGGCTTCCAGATATCCTTGTGAAAAAAATCCTCCTACAGCCTCAGACCACATCACCTGCCTGACCCTGTCTAGAATCCCATATGTAAATTGTCCTATAATAAATTCTATTTTTAAAAGGCTTGGACTTTTTTTTTTAAAGAGATTTATATTTATTTATTTGAAAGAGTTACAGAGAGAGGTAAAGAGAGAAAGAGAGGTCTTCCATCCGCTGGTTCACTCCCCAGATGGCCACAACGGCTGGAGCTGCACTGATCTGAAGCCAGGAGCCAGGATCTTCTTCCAGGTCTCCCATGTGGGTGCAGGGGCCCAAGACTTGGGCCATCTTTGACTGCTTTCCCAGGCCATAGAGAGATGGATTGGAAGAGGAGCAGTGGGTTTTGAGCCAGCGCTCATATAGGATGCTGGTGCTTCAGGCTGTGGCTTTAACCGACTGGTGCCCACAGCCCCAGCCCCTATAATAAACTCTTTTATTCTTATATGGAGCTTCCTTCTTCCTTCTTCAGTCTCAGAATTCTTTCTCAGCTCGAGGGACATTACATATTCCACTAAACTTTAACCGTCCATCCACCTAATTTTCTCATATTTGGGCGGCTCATTCTGAGACTCTCATTAGTTTCTTTTTCCTAAGAGCTAAAAATTGGACTGGAGAAGAACTGCTTCCTGGGAGACAGAAATGAATCTGTACAGCCAAATTCTGCAGGAATCTCCCCTGCAGAAGACTTGGGCGCATCCAAGGGGAGAGAGTCTCTGCTTTCTATAAATGCATGAGTAGGGGGGTAGCAAATGGGAACCAGAATATACTGAGACAGAGACAGATGCCACAGCAAGGGGGCTGTCTCAAACAGTAGAATATGCGAGGAAGCACAATGGAAGATAGGTCCTGGGAAAATTCTAGTATGTTAGAGGACCTCACATGGACTTAGAAAGTTACAATGACTTCAGCAAATCTGCGTCTAGGGCTGGCATTGTGGCACAATGGGTTAAGCCACTGCCCACAATGCCAGCATCCCATATGGGCACTGGTTCAAGGCCCAGCTGATCCACTTCCAATCCAGCTCCCTGCTAATGCATCTGGGAAAAAAAGCAGCAGAAGATGGCCTAAGTCCTTGGGTCCCTGCATGAATGTGGGAGACCTGGATAAAGTTCCTGGCTCCTGGCTTTGGCCTGGCCCAATACCAGCTATTGTGGCCATTTGGTAAGTGAACCAATGAAGGGAAGACCTCTCTCTCTCTCTCTCCCTCCATTTATCCCTCTCTTTTTTGTGTGTAACTGCCTTTCAAATAAATAAAATAAATAAAAAAAACACAGGAAATCTTCTCCTAAAAGTGATAATGAGATTTGATAAGGATTTGGCATACTGTTGATTACAAACAGTCCCTAGATTAAGATAGTGCAATATATGATTTCTCAACTCTGATAGTAGAAATTGTAGGCCAGCGCCGTGGCTCAATAGGTTAATCCTCCGCCTTGCGGCACCGGCACACCAGGTTCTAGTCCCGGTTGGGGTGCCGGATTCTGTCCCGGTTGCCCCTCTTCCAGGCCAGCTCTCTGCTGTGACCCGGGAAGGCAGTGGAGGATGGCCCAAGTGCTTGGGCCCTGCACCCCATGGGAGACCAGAAGCACCTGGCTCCTGCCATTGGATCAGCGCAGTGCGCCGGCCGTGGCGGCCATTGGAGGGTGAACCAACGGCAAAAGGAAGACCTTTCTCTCTGTCTCTCTCTCTCACTATCCACTCTGCCTGTCATAAAAATAAATAAATAAAAAAGAAATTATAGCTGGGGTTTGAATTTTGATCTTTTCCTGGGCTAGCAAAATGCAGTATGATAGTCTTGGCAGCAAGCCACAGCTCCCAATCAGCCATGTGGTCTCAGCAGTGAACAACCCATTGTCTACAGTGTAGTGTGTTGTTATGATATGATGTTTGGCAAGTTAGACATATTAGGTGTATTTTCAGCTTATGATATTTTTAACTTATGATGTGTTTGTTGGCATGTGATCTCATCATAATTTGCGAAGCATCTACACTTGTGTATCTTGGCCACTAAACCATACATGCCCTATAATTTGTTTATGAGTGTTTCTGTTGTCCCAAGGGTTGAAGTGGCAGCAGTAGGGTATCCACCCTCATCACACATGCATGCTCCAGTTTTCCTCCCTTTTCTAAGATGTAAGCAAGCCCTCCAACTCTGTCACTGTGTTGCATATCTGAAGTTGAGTCCCACGAGGCTGTCCGATTCCTGCACCTAAAAATCCAGGACCTTCCTTTGAAGTGGATGTGCATGGTCTGGGCCCACCAGCCTGGCCCAAACCTGGCAGTGATCAAGAGGTGGCTCTCCACAAGGCTTCTGCTTGTCTTTTACAGGTGAAAGACTCTACTCTGCAGCCGCAGATGGTGTTCACGGTCCGCCATGCCACTGTCACCTTCCAGACTGAAGGGGACTCATGGAGAGAACAGAAAGATCAGAGAGCAGCCCTCATGGTGGGCATCCTCATCGGGGTGTTCGTGCTCTGCTGGATTCCTTTCTTCATCACGGAGCTCGTCAGTCCCCTCTGCTCCTGTGACATCCCGGCCATCTGGAAAAGCATTTTCCTTTGGCTTGGCTACTCCAACTCCTTTTTTAACCCCCTGATCTACACAGCCTTCAACAAGAACTACAATAGTGCCTTCAAGAACTTCTTTTCCAGGCAACACTGAGTAAGAGTCCTTGGGGAGACAAAGGAGCTCTTCCAAAAACTCGATGAGATGTCCAATTTCATCTGTTTCTACACCCCTACCCAACAGCCGCGTGGAAGAGATAACTCCTTCAAGTGCCCCAGGATCACCTTTAGTACTAAACTAGCCCCACTTCTGCACTCCAGTGAAAGAAGACGCGTCTTCACAGGCAGTTTGGTGACTTCACCTGTCTAATTATTTACTATTCCTCACCCTACACTACAGCCACAGAGTTTGCCCACAAAGTGCCCTTTCTTCTGCCAAAGCCACTCCAGGATGGTTCTATCTTTTTTATTTTTTTGACAGGCAGAGTGGACAGTGAGAGAGAGAGAGACAGAGAGAAAGGTCTTCCTTTTGCTGTTGGTTCACCCTCCAATGGCCGTCGCGGCCGGCGCGCTGTGGCTGGCGCACCGCGCTGATCCGAAGGCAGGAGCCAGGTGCTTCTCCTGGTCTCCCATGGGGTGCAGGGCCCAAGTACTTGGGGCATCCTCCACTGCCTTCCTGGGTCACAGCAGAGAGCTGGCTTGGAAGAGGGGCAACCGGGACAGAATCCGGCACCCCAACTGGGACTAGAACCCAGTGTGCCGGCGCCGCAAGGTGGAGGATTAGCCTAGTGAGCTGCGGCGCTGGCCAGGATGGTTCTATCTTAAAGAAGCCGAGTAAGTCAGATGGGAGGGAGGAGATAAAACAACATGGGAAGATTGATAATGGATGGAGAATAGATAGGAGATCACAACGGGAATACCTAGGGGTTAGGAGGCCATAATTCCAAGCTTTCTGAACTTCAACTGTTCTGCTTTATGGTCCTAGTAAGTATATCTCAATACATACTGGTATTTTCCAATATTGGACCACTAAATATTGTCTCCAAACATATTAAAGTATGTAGTGCCATCTGTGAGACCAATGAATCCTGGCTTTGTTTGTGTCAAACACACATACACACACAACTATGGAAAAGACATGTGTTCTAGCTGGACAGTTTACTGCAAAATGCAACCCATCAACTTGGAGCAGACACTAAGAGGCACCTCCATTTTGAAGCAACCATCCAAAAACAGTAGACAAGTCTACTAATTTATCTGTCAAATTTGCTTATTTGCCACGGGTTTCATGTGTATGGAATTTATTCAGGCGTTTCCAGGCAAGAGCCTTTGTCCTCAGATCATGAAGTTAGTGTGCATTAGCTGTCAGGAAGTTATGGATTTTTTAAATACAGCCTCAGGACCAATAACATTGAAAGCAGCTTCACCAAACACACACACTTTCACAGGATGGTTGATTAGTGCACAAATTGCTATTTGGGTTGGTATGTGAAGGCCTATTAGGAACACTAATAAATTTGAAAAAGACAGAAATGGGGGGGGGCAAATGTGACTTCAGTTCTCTACAAATGGTCAGTGTAATTGTTGAGGGAGGATGATGGCGTGGTGCTGGAGTGTTTGCATGATCGTCTAAAACCTTGGCCACACCCACTCTCCAGAGGCAGATGAAGGAGCTTTGAGGAAGATCATAGAAGAGTCTGAAGAGAGAGTAGACAATTATCTTCCCAGACTGGTGTGCATACCAACTTCTTGCCAAGAACAGGGGATAGTCTGCGTCAGCCCTGGGAACCTGCAGAGGAGTGGTGCTGACAGCTCAGCACACTCGACTCCCAGCAAAACCCTGACCTATTGACTGGTAGCATCTCCTGTTGCCACAGTCACTGATATGAAAGGAGGGATCAATACTTTAAGTCTCACTGATCTATAGTGACAGTTACTTTTTATGATTAAACAGAAATCTTTGCAGAGGGGTTTCCAGCTAGTGAGATCATTCTTAGTAACAGAGAAAGATAATGGGGTTATACAAGGATCCCTAAAGTGATATAAACCTATGTATTTCTCTGATAAATGTGCAACTACTATCACCATCAAAAGCTTTTGACTTCAAATAAAGGAGAGGGGTGGGTTTTGGGCTAGTGGTTAGGATGATGATTGGGATGATATAGTGTCCTATATCAGCATGGGTGGGTCTGATGCCTGCCTCCAGTTCTTGACTCCAGCTTCCTGCTCTTGCGGTCCCTGGAAGGCCATGGTGATGGCTCAAGTAACTGAATCCCGGCCACCCATGTGGGAGCCCTGGATTGAGTCTCTGCTCGTGGCTTCTGTCTGGCCCCAGTCTTGGAGGGCATTTGGGGTTAGTGAACCAGCAGATGGAGACTCTGTCTCTGCCTCTCAAATGAATAAAAAGTTTTAAATAAAAATTTTTTAAAAAGGAGGAATTCTTCAAAAATAGATCCACTGCCATAGAGCACTGGCCTCAAATGATCGAGCCAGTTACGTGAGAGTTGGAGTGTGAATAAATGCTTTCTTATCTCTGCCAGGCTGAAAAGTAAGCAAGGATACCTTTCTGTCTTGGAGAAAGAATACCCCACAAATCCATAAACTGCTTTCTTATCACATGGTTTGGTCAAGTTTATTGTTTAAGTAAGGGCCTTTTACCTTAGTCAAAACTGACAGAATAAGCAAGAATTTTTCTACTGAGTCTGAATCCTGTGAGAACAATGCTTGCAAAATGTTCTAAGTTCTGTAAGTTCTGAGCCATTTTACTAACTAACCATTGTCTTTTTGTCAGGTGTCCTCAACAGTTACAAATCTTACACATTTTTAAGAAATATTTATTTATTTGAAAGAGTGAGAGGGAGAGAGGGAGGGAGGGAGGGAGAGAGAGAAAGAGAAAATCGTCCCTTTGCTGGTTGCAAAAGCTGGGACTGGGCCAGGCAGAAATCAGGAGCCAGGAACTCCATCCAGGCCTCCCACAGGGGTATCAGGGGTCCAATTACTTGGACCATCTTCTGCTGCCTTCCCAGGCACATTAGCAGGGAGCTGGATCAGAAGCTGGGTAGCCAGGAATGGAACCGGCACTCCAATATAGAATATTGGTGTTGCAGGTGGCAACAACTTTGACAAGCTGTACCACAACACAGGTCCCCAGTTATAAAGCTTAAGGAAAAGGAAAAAACAGCAACAACAAATAGGAATACAATTTTTTCACTGTTTTTTCTTTGTAACTTTTACTTTTTAGTGAGTACCTACTAGGCCCTGTGCTAAATATTTTTACATAAATTACTTCATCCTTTCTATCCCAGATGATTTTGACTTCTCTAACACCACTCTTTTCATATTTGGTCATTTCACTTATGTCTAGTTTCAGTTTAAAAAAAAAACAAACTTGGCCGTTATAGAAAACTTTAAAATGATCTTGGGCAATAAATTCTCTTGCCTGTTATCTCTGACTCTTTGAATGCATGAATTTTAAAATTATGTGTTATAATTATCTAGTAATTATTATATCATACATTACAAAATACTTGTACTATATTGTGCATAATAAATTATATCAATATTTCCAAAATAGGAAATTTGTGCTAATTTTGGGGGGGAGTGTTTGGTTTGAAGTTGAGCTTTTAATTTACTGAAAAGACTGTCTTTATTCAAAGAATGTGAACAGATAAGGAAATGTTAGCCATCTGTGAAGTCACGACTTACATGCTATGCAGACCCCGTGTCTATGCATCCGTGCACATTTATTGAAGAATTTACTTGGAAAACTGTTCGATTTTTCTTATTTCTGCATAGGTACTTGAAGTACTAAAGTCACAAATATGAATACTTAAAAATACACACTGTTTACTTGCTCAGTTACTTTTTCCCACTAACGCTTAGAAACAGCAATACCACCAAATGCTATTAGATTCTAGTGTTGTAATAAGGGAAGTGCTTCAAAAATTTCAGTAAGTGCTCCATAAAAGAAAAGAAGAAACTGAGGAGGTACCTGGAGAGGGGATACCAGAATCAAGGGTAACTTTTTAAAATCCCTGAAAAATTTTTCATTCTTCATTTATTTTTTATTTTTCGTATTGTTAAAAGAATTCTTCCTTCCCCTTGAAAGGGAAGCTTTGGGAAGATGTGCCACATCTGTCTGGTGCTTTCGGGCCCCCCCCCCCTTCTCCTGGATTCTGCAACCCTCCGAGGAGAAAGAGGTCATTACAATATTCATTCAAACTCCAACTGAGATTCTTACTAATATTTTCACAAGAGGAATGAGTCCATTACTGTTCCAATATGTATTTACCATCTCCAAGATACATCACTTAATTACGCATTGTATAAAATGTTCTGTTGATATACTACCTAGAGCCAAAAACATTGTACATGAGAAGGAAGAAATGGAAATTAATGAATTATTTTGTTTCCAATTGAATACCAAAAGTTGTTTACAACCAGGGAAAAAATATCACAAGACAGAGACAGCATTGATTGAATTGAATCTCTAATGTACAATTCAAATATTTATTAAATCTTTTCCTTACTTCTAATGGTTAATATTTCATCAAGTTAGCAATGAGCGTGAATCACAGACAGAAATCAACTTAAAAACATTGGCCCCTATTCCTTGTGTCACATGGGAACAGCCACCTGTATCAGAGCAGTGCCTATCGCAGGCGGGAGGCTTCCTTGCAAGTCCTCTCTAGGTGGTTAGCACTAGCCATGTCAAAGTCCTTCAAAATGCAAAATAGGAGAAGGAGGAGGAAGAGGGGTGGGAGTGTGGGTGGGAGGGCAGGTACGGTGGGAAGAATCATTATGTTCCTAAAGTTGTACTTAGGAAATGCATGAAGCTTGTATTCCTTAAATAGAAGGTTTCTGAAAGAAAAAAAAAAGAAAATCCAAACCCAGCTTTCTCCACTCTGTTTTGTGAGTACAGAAGCTGGGGCCCTAGACACCTACAACCATATTTCTCCCTTGACAGCTGGCTCCCTGTCAGCGGCTGCCAGTGGGGAGGAGGCACTGGAGGGAGAAGTGACTCACTCCACTGTCAGCATGAGGACCAGGAAACCCTGGCGGCAGCAGTGACTTCCGGGTCTGCTTCCTCAGCTGTATCAGAATGGGCTGGCTGGGTCAGATGCCAGGGTCCGCCACGGAGCTGGACGTCCTCCTCTGAGCTCCTGAGGTCCCAAGAAAGCTGACGACAGCTGCTCCCTGCAGTTCTAGCTCGGCAGAAGCTCAGCGTCCTCTCATCTTTTCTGTTTTCTGCTACTCATTTAACCAAGCCCTCTCATTAAGTTATGCTATGAAAGGTACAACACCAACTGCATACCTAAAGGTAACTTACTAAGGAGATAGCCCTCTCATGACTGATGACGTTACACATCCTCAAGGTCATTTTGAGTTCTGAGTTTTCATTGTACATTAGGGAAAGGTGGGTGGTAGATGTTTCTGAATCTGTATTGAGATTAGGTCATTTTGTGGGAATTAATTTTATTTAAATATTTATTTATTTGAAAGTCAGAGTTACAGTGAGAGAGGGAGAGACAGAGAGATCTGCCATCTGCTGGTTCATTCCCCAGATGGCTGCAATGGCCAGGGCTGTGCCAGGCTGAACTCAGGAGTTTCATCAAGGTCATCCATGTTGGGGGCCAACTTCTGCTGCTTTCCCCAGGCCATCAGTAAGGAGCTGTATAGGAAGCAGAGCAACTGGGACAGGAACCAGTGCTCATATGGTTGCCAGCATACCTGCTATGCCACAAGGCCAGCCCTGGGAATTAACTCTTGAGACAAGCTCAGTATTTGATCTTCCTCCTAAAGGGAGCACATTTGTCTCTGTGTGGGTTCTATTGGATCATAATGCTCTTCTCATAGCCAGAGATGCTACAGATGCAGAAACAGGCACCCATTCTGTGAAAGAGAAGATATCAGAGTAAAGTTATGCTTGCCAAGCATGGATTTGATTAGTAGGAGGGAAACGTCTCTGTCCTGTGTTAGGCGAGCAGAGCACCTGTGTTGCTTCTGGGCTGGCCCTACCTGGGCTGGTCAGCTGGACCTTGATTAATTGTTGAGCTGGCTCCTTGTGGTCTACAAATGACTCCACTCAGGACTGTGGCACCCCATGCATCCAGCGACAAGAGGGTGGAAGTCCTGTCAGCAGATTAGGGAGCTCTGTAAAGAACTATCGGTTCTGCAGGTGACCTTTTGGTGCAGTGGTCAACTGGCCCGTGGGATGCTTGCATCCAATAAGGGAGTGCCAGGTTCAAGTCTAATGTGCACCCTGAGAAGTGGCAGACGATGGCTCAGGTACTTGTGTTCCTGCCACTCACGTGAGAGATTCTGGATTGAGTTCCCAATGTCTAGTCTGGCTGTTTCAGGCATTTGAAGAGTGAACTAGCTGGTAGAAGATTTCTCTCCACCTGTCTCATTCTCTATGTATCTCTGCCTTTCAAAAACAAAACAAAACAAAACAAAAAAACAAACAAACAAACAAGAAAATGGGGCCAGCGCTGTGGTGCAGTAGGTTAATCCTCTGCCTGTGGCAATGGCATTCCATATGGGTGCCAGTTCTAGTCCTGGCTGCTCCTCTTCCAATCCAGCTCTCTGCTATGGCTTGGGAAAGTAGTAGAAGACGGCCCAAGTGCTTGGGCCCCTGCACCCATGTGGGAGGCCCAAAAGAAGCTCCTGGCTTCAGATAGGCTCAGCTCTGGCCATTGAGGCCATTTGAAAAGTGACCCAGTGGATGGAAGACCTTTCTCTCTGTCTCTGCCTCTCACTGTCTGTAACTCTACCTCTCAAATAAATAAATAAATAAAATCTTAAAAAGAAGAAGAAGAAGAAAAGGAACCATGTTAGTCCCAAAGAGACTTTTTCTGGCAGTCCTGGGCCCTCTGGTCCAGCTACATTCAAGCTCGCATCTCCCTCTTTCTCCTCCTGAAAAGAATTTTCCTTTCCATCTGGCTTTATCATAAAAACCCATGATCACATCTACCCTGGCCTCCTTTGGGAGAGGTTAGGCCAGCTGCCTGCTGAGTGTAGTGTGGTCTGGCTCAAGGCACAGAGGTACACAAGGGAAGCAGGAATTCACAGGACAAGAAGTGGCTAATTTAATAAGCTCTCCTCATTATCAAGAGGTATGCCACACAAGGAGAAATAATTAATAATTGCTAAGTACTTCCTACACATAAGGTAGCGTGCTAGCACTATATACACACCACATTCTGTCCTGACAATGACCCTCTGAGATGGTATGGGGATTTAACACCAAAGTCCTTTGAGTCTCGTTAAAATAAAAGCACTTATCCAAGATGAAACAGCTAATAGATCACAGAGCCAAGATCAAAACTCAAGATCAGGTGCCAACCCCAGCCCTTCAGCTCTGTAATAGTGCACAAAAGCAGCCCTGAAGAGTGGGAAGTGATCTACAGGATCCAGATGAAGGCAGAACCCCAACATCTCCACCAGATGCAGCCCACACATTGGCTGTAAAATGACCAGCTTTCAGAGGAAACCTGGAGCAGGGTTCTTTCCCTTTATGTTATTTGGTGACTGTGTATCCACCACTGGGTGACTCCCGCTTCCCAGATCAGCACTGCTGTGTGCATCCAACACCAGACCCTCTCTGCTCCAAGCCTGGCTGATCAACAACTGCATCTGGACAGAGCGGTGCCCGATGGGAAGCAGGAGAGGAAAACAACTCTGCCCACAAGGACTAATGAAGGGAAGACACTGAGATGAATTTATATGTACTATTAGCACATAAATTACATCATCCCAGCCAGTATGCTGGGCCGCCCTTCCCATTGTCTGTAAAATGATGGGCTTGGAGCTGGTTACACCAACTTCCTGCGTTGGAGCATTGCTTGGAGTCCTGACTACTCTGATCCAGCTCCTGCCAATGCTTCTGGGAAGGCATAACATCATGGCCCAAGTAGTTGGGCACTTGGCACCCATGCAGGAGACCTGGATGGAGTACCTGGCACTTGGTTTCAGCCTGGGTCAATCCTGGTTCTTGAGGCCATTTGGGGAGTGAACCAGCAGGTGGAAGCTCTCTCTCTCTATCTCCCTCCCTATCTCTGCCTTTCTTTTTTAAGTTTTTTTTTATTTGAAGGCAGAATTGGAGAGAGAGAGAGATCTTCCATTCTCTGGTTTACTCCCCAAATGGCCACAATAGCTGGGGATGGGTCATGCCAAAGCCAGGAGCCTGGAACTCTATCCAGGTCTTCCATGTGGGTAGCAGAAGCCCAAATACTTGGGCCAACTTCCTCTGCTTGGCCAGATGCATTAAAAGAGAACTGCTTTGGAAGCAGAGCAGCTGGGACTCTAGTAGGCACTCTGATATGGGATACTGGTGTCAGAGTTAGCAGCTTAATCCACTGCACCACAATGCTGTCCCCCATCACTCTGCCTTCCAAATAAATAAACCTTTAAAAAATAAACAATCAAAAAAGGTGGGCTTGATGTTCTCCCCAGTGCCTTCTATAAACGACTGCTCACCTTGCACACACACTGCTGGGGAGAGAGAGGTCACACTTCGCTTGGCCGGTAGACCCTGCAGGCACTTTCCATGTCACTGGCCCCTCCCAGTGGGGCTCTGACCACGGGGTCCCTGGAGACAGGCAGTGGGAAGGACAGCGTCTTCAGGCAGCATCGGTTGGTTTCAGCAGGAACAGTCGTCTCCAGTTTGCTTTTATCCTCAAAGGTACCTGCCCCAGCCAACCGCCAGCCCCTTTCGGCAATGGCTTGATCCTACTTCTGCAGAGCCGGCCCTGCCAGGCCCTGGGGGAGCAATGCGAGTCGGAAAATCAGTCCGGGGGGGGCCCTACAGGACAGGCACTGGCTCAACCCGTCCCTCCCTGGAGGTCTCAGCCGCTCCGCGGGGCTGCTCCCCTAAGCTTCAGGATTCTAGTGGTCCTTGTGCTCCGTGCAGCCGAAGGCCCAGTAGGGCGGCTGTGTTTCTCCCTCCCGCCCAGACTCCAAACATTGGGAGGGGATGGGCGGCCACAGTTGTGCGCAGGTTGTGCCCGCCCGGTCCCGGGGCCTCTCCCGTGAGGATGGTGTGTTGAAGCGCGATCCTTTGGAACTCAGCGCTGCGCCACTTCCCCTCGGAGGATCTGACAGAAAAGCAGCGGCGCCGCCTAGTGTCCGAGCTGGCCGAGGTTTTCAGAGGTAGTAGACTCGGATCGCCCCCAAAGCGGGGCCATCAGGGACCTGGGGGGGTAGTGGTCCTCCTCTCCCCAGACTGTGGGCAGTGTTTTCTCCCCCTTCTCTCAAGGCTTAAAAATTCTGCCTTTGCTTCTCTCCGTGAGGCGGTTTTATTAACTGCGCGCCTTACATCTAAACAATTAGTGAGAAGAGTTCACAAGCCAAAATCAGTTTGTAAAACAGCTGGGGGTGCCTCACCCCACACCTTTCCTTCAGTGGTTGGGAAACCTTTAGTTTGCAAAGTCAGCTGTCCCCTTCCCCAGCCTTTAGTGTAGCTCGCGGAAAACGTAAAAACGTGCTGAAAACAAATAAACAACAACAACAACAACAACAAACAACCAGATGTTTTCGAGTTTTTCCATGAGGTGTGTTCGGCTGAGATGTTGGCACCGAGCTCTGCAGCCAGATGGAGAACATTTTTACTATAGCTGCAGCAATATTTCCTCAAGGACTGAAATTGCCTCCCTCCCTCCCTCTCTCTCTTTCTCTCTCTCCCCCTCCCTCTCTCCAATTTCAAGGT